TTCCAAACACACATGATAGCACATGTTGACAAATGGAAAATAAGCAATCATCGTCGTTGAGCTTTTGCTTTATATGCAATAGAGTATACTTTCTTTATTTCCCAGCATAGTCTCCGATGCGACAATGTTGGGCAGCCATTTCTATTTATTAATTTTGAAAAATCCTCACTGGCTAGATTCCACATTTTTTGGAGGTAAAAATGCAAACGTGTGTGTGTCCAGTACCAGTTACTACAACAAAGTCGGTAAGAACTTAATTCTTGATTTTGGGTAGCCCTTCTCTTAGAAACCCTGTTTACTTATCTGTCATACCTATGCTGCGATGAAAAACAATACTTTACCTCCTTCCTCAGTTCCGAAGAGCATTCCTACTCCTCGAGGTGTGCAGGAGCCAAGGCCTACGTCAGTCAGTCCCAGAGGCCAGTTATCTTCGCCCAGCAGCTGGCTTGCCATGCCTATCGGGCCGGCTTGCCCACATACAGACTCCGTGGTTCTGCAAGCCATGCCGGAAGCGCTGATACCATTAGGGTTGCCGCTGACTCCGCCAGGTATTGCTGCATCTGATGCAGCCGATACGAAAGCTACCATAGAAGCTGCTGCCGCGGCGGCTGAAGCATTAGTCAAAGAGGCTGTGACCATAGCATTGGTGGTCAGTCCTGCTGTATCTGGTAGACAAGGCAACCCACAAGCAGAGAAGTTGCATCCTGTCATGACGCCACGGAAACCACCGCCGCTGCTTCCACAGTGATTGCTGCTGGAAATGGGCCCTGATCCAGTGCCGGTGGGACAGGCGGAAGGGGAAAAGATGGAGCAAAACGACTGGGCAGAAGTGTTGGTAGGCCGTTTGAAGACGTTACTGGTTTCACGATGACTCAAGTTATTTCGATTCATCTTAACAGAGGCAAGGGAAATCATATATGATACCTCACTAGCAAAATTGTTGTTTGAACATAGGTATTGGATTTTTAGAATAAAGGATATAAGATGAATTTCGCTCCATTTGCATAGAATAAATTAATCTAATAGCCAAAATATGACATCTAGGCTAATTGCTAATGGGTATTGCCCCCTACGACTAATGGAACCGTTGCTACGAAAGTGCATTTATTGTATGGCTATCGACTTCAAATCATGATTAATTTAAGAAAATCAGTGAGCTTGAGTTGATATTCACCGCTCTTTGTATTATAAAAAGCCGTCATCATCCCAAGTGGACTGTGTTTTTGACCTTACATTGGTTTCATTATTGTGGTAATACCTAGGCTAATTTGAAAGCACAATTACTTTTGGATGGTGACAACATTGAACGCCTGCATATATGGGGATATATTTGCAAAGCCAAGCTTTCCCAACATTATTTTTGCATCTTAATAGGCACCTCAATGCACCATAGCTAATAATAAGGCCCAATTACCATGCTATAAAAATATACTTATAACTACTCTGAGTCAGCCAGTCAAATTAAAAATTTAATGTATTCAACATATTCCCTTTAAGATGACTGAGGATTTGTAGCTAAATTGTCCTAATATGATATAATTGGGCCTCATAGTCCCATTGAATTTCACATAACCAAGCACCCCCAACAGGACTCAAAGCCTGATAGAGCAATGTCTGGCTTTGAAACTTTAATCACTACGCTCTTGCATCCCATATAACTTTCTGTGATAGAATTGTTGGTGAAACATTGTTGTATTTGCTATATTAATCTACTACATTAATTATTTACGAGAAAACAAGTAGAACATATAAATGAGATTTATTCACCCTGTTTCGCTTTGACAATCCCACGACAGAAAGTAAAATGCGATAGGCCTGACCTTTCTTGAAATTTACTTTTGTGCTGTGACTCAAGAGCACTCGTGCCAGTGCGGCATAATGGTTAAAATGTCGAGGCTAGACGCTACACTACCCTGTTTCGTGTCCTGCTGGAGTTGCTAGACAAGATCGGAACTAGAGTCCTCTCCAGTCTGGATCGGAACACCTTTTCAGAAGCAAAGTTATATGAAATAAAATAATAACGTAAGGCTTACATATATCGTTGTATCAAAGTTCAACTAAAAATCTTTCATCATCTTAAAAGAAGTTGGATGATTACCCCTCGTAGTCTCGAAATCTATTTATAAACGAAAATGAAAAATACTTTGCTACATAAGTCCCAGCTGACTTATATCACACGAAGGCACACCAGAACGATAAAGCATTCCCTTCGCTTTAAGACAGACTGGGCCAATTGTAGAGGGTGATCTTAAACAGTTTCTAACTTCATAATAATTAAATCTTATTGGGCACTCCTCTCAGCCTTTCCATGAAAGAAAAGTATTATTTAATCGGAGACAAGAAGATAAGGACGGTGTGATGTCTATTTTGATCACAGTCTCCTTTTACCGTATTGAACTGACTTTACTTCGTTTTACCAACATAATTGTGTTATCAAAGCCTTTACCAAAGTCGTTAGAATTTCCAGCGGTGGGCCATGGACTTGGTACATTCCCATAAATTTCGCCGGCATCCTAGTCGACGTTATTAATAAACCATACCAATTTTCGCACCAAGTTACATCTTGTTCAAGATACTTGTCTTTTGATGCTAGGAGTAGCAAGGCCCACTAAAGATGCCGGCTAAACGTTTAAGAATGTACCAGGACTTCGAAAATTATCATGAATAAAATGGGAGAAGGCTCAGGATAAGGCAAATTTATTTTGGTCATCCTGACAAGGCCAAACCACTTCAAAAACGTTGGTTGTCCTACTGGTTCAAGCAAGAACATGTTTTTCAAAGTATATGTTGATATAATTTTTGAAATTTGCCTCACAACTTTTATGCAGACGCAAGCTTGAATTTCCGAGGCAAAATAAACTTGCTGAGATTTGGATTTTTCAATGAAATACCACTAATCAAAGCAGCATAACTCATGTATTCTTCACTCACTTGCACGTTCAGGCAGCCGCGCTTGTAGCTTGTGGACACAGCAGCCTGCGCGTAAAGGGTATTCGAATTGGGAATCCTAGAATTTACGCCGTCCCTTCTAAGGCCTCCTCCTCCGCTAGCACAGTCTGAGTTTCCAGTGCTACCAGAACCAGAATTTTGACCAGCCAGGGAGACAGCACTAGTACTAGCAACAACGCCACCACCTATTCGATTTCCCCCGACGACTCCACTTGGCTTCGGGTTGGATTTTTCAGTCCTAAGGAAAACATAAAATATATTAAGTACTATATTAAATGCCAATTCCACTAGACAGAGACTGAATTATGCAAGTTTTCCTAATAATAATCGGATATAGTAGAGTAGTAGTTAATAGTAATACTATGGTTGCTATCGTGTCTGATCAAATGCCCATAAATCAATAATCAATCAATATAATAGTCCATGTGATGAGTTGAAAATATAATATATGAAAATAACCTGGAATTAGAATAATTCTATTATATGGAATGACTTTGCATTTAGAATATGTTGGTGGGAAAGAAATCATCAATTGGTTTCAAAGGAAGCCAAAGGAGGGAAAAACCTATTGGTTGGTGCGTACAAGTCTGCTGTTCACCGTCCTGCGACCCTTATCAGCCGTGCTAACATTTCATCTGTCATATGACAAGTATCGTCAGAGCGAGAAAATATAATTTGCGAAAAATCACACCAAATACAATAAACTAGGAAATACGGTTTGCTCGTTGCAAACACGTTTACCTCTTGTACCTAATGTTATGATCCCAATAAGGCATAGCATTATTTGATTGGCCTGATAAACATTCTAACAGATTGTGAAGGTCGATGCATTAAAAGTGAGGGGATCTTGTTTCAGTTGTTTACCTGCATAACTAATCAGACAAAGATAGACATGGAATGATTTGGCCAATTCAATTTAATATTGGTTATGTAATTATCCAAATCCCTTTACATCTATCTATGTCTATGCATTTTCGTTTTGTAGTTATGCGTATATATAACACGTAAAATAGAGTTGGACAGTCTTCTTGACTTTTACCGGAATGAGTTCCAGCTCTGATGATGTCCATCCTATTATGGACTAACGCTTAGCTCTTTTTCGCTCAAAATGAAGGAGAACGCCTCGTGGATTGCATCAACCTGAAAGTCGTATTGAAGCCAAACGGCTGCAGTATAACGAGAATCGGCCGCCGTCTTCTGGTGCGATCGACCTAGGAAACTCTTCCATAATATTATCTTAAGATATTCATCTAAACCGAGATACTATTTGTAAATAATCACATTTATGATCCAGACAATTTTTGCCCATATATGAGATGATGAAGGGCTGGTAGTTGAATTTCCCTTAACGAAATAGGGCAAATATGTCCAGCTAGTCTCGAAAATCGACTTATAAAACGAAAATATGTAATGCGTTTGGCTTTCCTAGATGGGAAGGTCAATCGCTCTACTGGGACACTCAAAAGGAAATTGTTCCGAAAGAAGTAATATGCCGGAATACTACTCAATTTCGAGTGTCATCACAACTATAGAATGAAGATACGCATACTGAGAAGCATGTTCATTGGAAGTTAACGATTAATAAACGTGGAATTCCTGGATAAAGAATAGGAAAAATTGACTCGGATATTCCTTGGTAACGGATACTCGAAACAAGTAATACAAAGAAACATATTGGCCTTGAAGAGCTGATGGCAGAACGGGGATTATGAAAGAAAAATAAAGATGGAGAAAGTCTCACAAAAGTGGATATGTCTCACTTCTTGCGAACTAGCTCAAAACCTACGGCCAATCTTAAGAAAATAG